CCTCACCTGAGTCACCCTCTCTTCTGGTAAGCCTCACCACCCCACCGATGCTGGGCGAGGCACCTCGTGGGCTTCTCCTGTGCCTGTGTGTCCCCATCTCTGCTCACTCATGCTGTAACTGCCTCGCCGTGTGTTACTGGCCCCCCAAAGGACGTGGGCACCCCGAGGGTGGGGACAGGGTGTGTCCCAGTCACTGAATGTCCCCAGCGCCCAGCACACAGAGTGTGCTCAGTAGAATTTGGCCACTGATAACGGCCTCCATCGTGGTCCAGCCCCACCATCTCCCACCTGGACAGGGCAGTTGCTTCTGCCCTGGTCCCCCAGCTTCTATCCTGGCCCCCAATCTGTACTCCCCACAGCAGCCACCAGAGGGTGACTGTGAGCACCCGAGTCAGGTTCTGTCCCCCTCTGTCCATAGCCCTCCAGCGCTCCCACCTCCTTCAGGGTGAAAGCCCAAGTCCTCCCTGAAGCCCACACGACTCTGCACAACCTGCCCCCATCCACTCCCCACCCTTGCCTCCTCCCTTGCTTACTCTGCTCCGGCCACACAGGTCCTGCCCCATGACCTTTGCACATGCTGTTCTGAAATGTACTTCCCTAAAACCTTTTCATGGTTCACTCTCACTTCCTTCAGGTATTGGCTCAAATGTTACCCCCTTAGTGAAACCTTCTTTGAGCACCCTGTTTAAAATTACAGCTTTCAACCATCTCCCGTCCTGTTCTTTTCCCCCCAGTGCCCTTATCACCATCTCACATGCCATATATTCTATTTGTTTAGCTCTGTCTGCCCCACTGAACTGTAGCTTCCATTAGGAGTGGAGTTTTTATGTGTTTTGTTCAATGGAGGTCCTCAGGACCTAAATAGTGCCAGGCATGCAGTAGGTGCTCAATAAATGCTTGTTGACTGACTGACTGAATTTATTTTGTTTCCAAACTGATCTGCTAATATCAAGACCACTTCCTTGAGGGCAGTGACCACATTTGATGCATTTTTATTCCTCCTTCCCCCCACCAGTCAATATTTTCTGAGCACCTACTGTGTGCCAGCTTTGCTGGGGAAACAGATGCAGGAAAGACAACCTTGTTCACCTTCTCTTTGATCCCCAACATCTCCTTCTCTCCCCAGCCAGGACCCTAACCATAACTGACTGCGTGAACCCCTATTCCAAATCCCTTTGATCCCAAGCCCCTGCACACTGGTACCTCACATTCTTGGTCCTTAATTTCAGCTCTGTGATCTGGTGGCTAATCTAGGCCCGATGATTTGGGGCCAGCCACTTAACATCACTGAGCCCCACTTTCTCATTCATAGAATAGCAGTCATAATACTATCTGTTACGGATTATAGGAGATCCTCCCTTCTGCTTTAGGACCACTCTCCATCACCCGCCTGCCCCGGCCACCCTCTCCACCTCTTCCTTCCTCCTCACAATCTGAGACCATCACCCACTTCACTGAGAGCAACGGGCTGATGGGCCCTCTCCCCTATTCACTGTCCCTCCCCACACTTATAAACGTATCCGCTCCCGTCCAAGAGGGCAAGGCCTCAGGCTCAGGGATCACATTCCTGGACCCCTTCATTGGGTGCACCACTTCTTGGCTGACCTTTACCTCCTTGGCTGCTTTGCTGCCTCTCCTCTG